CTAAACCGGCTTTTGAAAGGGTGGCTTTGGAAACATCTCGTCGTGGCTGTCTGTAGCAATATCGGGCTCCTTCCGCACCCCATTGGCTGTGGAGCAATCGAGCTTTGAAATCGGTTTAGGAGGGGTGGCATCTCTTTGCCTCTTACGGTATAAACCGTACGTGACACAAGATACCACACACCCCGATTTCCAAAGCTCGACTACTCCACAATCGAATAAGGGCCCGCGCCGAAAAAGACGGCGTTGTAGCCGTCTTGCTGAGATCTTTTCAAAAACGTGTATTTTCATATTGGCATCCTCTTCGTCATGGAGAAGTCGAGCTTTGAATATCGGTCCAGGGGATGTGGTATCTTGTGTCACCTACGGTACTGCATGCTGCGCCAAGTATATGGGTTCCGTCTGCCAAGCTCGCCGGGAGTCCGTTCAATGTTGTTTCTCCCTCGCACGCGAGAGCGGATTGACGAAAAGCTGACTGGTTACCGCCGTCTTCAAATGCGTGGAGTCTGGAACAAAGTCGGTTCTTCGAGCAAGCTTTGCGCCAAAAGCTAGAGAAATGTATGTTTTGACCAAGCCTATCAACCGAACGTCATGTGTTCAAAAACGGGGAACACGGTCTCCGGCGAGTTGTGGGAGCCCTTTCCTCCCTTCTCCCATTCCACTCGATGCATGTATTGTTGGCGTGTACACCATTTCAATGGAAGCAGCGTGGCAGTGCGCGGCGAGCCCCGGGTAGGTTCGTTGCAATTCATATGAGTCGCGCACGAGTTGGAGCCGGCGATCATCGCCACCCGTTGACGGGCCAATCTGATATCTGCAAGCACGTCTTCGTGTGGTTTGATGAGGCACGTTCACCACAATGAAAGAACCAAGTTTCCTGCAGACTGCAATGGTAGCCTTGCGACTTTATGCTGCGGGCATCCACCAGGCTATGAGAAGTTTTTGTTTTGAGTGGCTTCTCGGCTATAAGAAGTAAAATAAAAGCTTCATCGTGTATGCACTTATCCACTCGCCACTTCAAGCCCCCTCAAACCCCACACATTGAAGACTAGATGTGTGGGCGAACGCAACCAATGCCAACAAAACAGGTGTATACTCACGAGACTTGCAAGCGTGGTCGGCGTTTGTTGGATCGATACAGCAGGTGTGCTGTACGGCATCAACCGTGTCGAGAATATCATCCCGCTACCCAAAGGATGTCACGAATAAGCGTCTGAGAGAAGACAAGGTGCGAGTGACGTGCTTCACAAAGGCTAGCATAGCATGCACAGACAAACCACACTATAGTGTTAGAATCGGAAGGCTCAGAAAAAAATTTTCAACCCGAACTGACCGTCTGCGGTACTGCGGCGCCTCACCATCCCCGCATTCTTCCCCTGTTTGAGACTCGGAGGCCTTTCGTTGGCGCTTGGACAGCTCTCTTGTAGGACCGAACATCGAATGCGAATTTGACGTAGGCGAGGGCCGACATAACAGCGGTGGGGTTAAACCGACAGATGATTGTAGAAATACAAACGAGAGAAAACACCACCGGTTCGTAGATTGTGCCAAGCGTTGCGATGGACGTGTTAAATCGATACCTAAAAAGCAGAAGCCCAGGGGTAGCCCATGTGGTTTGTCTTTGAAAGGGAAACCAACGTGGAACAAGATAGAGGGGAAGAAGATCGCGCCGGGTTTGTAGTCCTCGCTTTTCGTTGAAAAACATCAACCGCGCAAGCGTACCGACGAGACGTCATCCAAAAAACGCCAGCAAATATAGGAACCTGAGGGTTCCCATGTGCGTGAATGCGACACACAGGCAATGACTGAGCACGGGCATCAGCAATCGCACCCCAAACCACTGCGGTATGCAAAGACGTAGGCTTTGCACAGCTTCCGCAGGGGCCGATCGTGTGCCAATGTGTTTTTCACGCGGGTGTCCCCGAATCTGAACGCATCCTCGACGAAAACTAGGGCGTTGTGGCTTTGATCTCGCCACTCGTTTTGGGGGATATTCTAAAGCATCCTTTGGGGCGTGTATTGCAGCTACGATAGAACAACAAACCTCGCAAGCGAGCGACATCCGCACCTTGCACGTACCTGCGGCCGCACATGTGTGTCACAGCTGTTGCAGCTGTATGTGAGGGGGCAGGTACATGGGTGCCATCAATCCTGTCTGATCCTGTCCAAACCCGTATCAAGGATATAATCGTCATGGCCTCTTGAGAAAGCCCCCACTCCTCTACAGCAGCAGAGTGGCCCAGCAAGCTCACTCAAGCTGGTTTCGAATATATGCTCTGAGATGTGGATGGGTTGCGGATACCTACGGGGTAGAATGCTACCCCTCTCTAGGTTGAAATTCCAGCGCGATACTGTGGGATGGGGGTCCATTCTTGCACTATAATAGTGGTCAGTCCACAAGGCTTGTTCGAAGTCTTATTGAGCACAGTTGAGAGCATGCGTGTTGCCAGTATTACAGCTTGAGACCATGGACAAAAGGGAAACTGAAATCTCCAAATAGCTCAGATTCACAAGCGGGTGATCCCCGCATCTGCCCCTGTCACTATCGCTGGACGTAGCATCATGTCGCAATACCTTCGCTCACCTTTTGGTGTAGTTTGGTTGCGGCCTACCGGCCGCCCGAACGCTCTGCCGACGGGGGGGCTTCCCAGTGCCCCTTAGCTTGCGCTCGCCTCGTCATTGTGCCTGCAGAGAATCCTTGCGCAACGGCAAACATTGGATCTCATTAATGCTATTGCACATAGGCAGCTCCGGTGCTCCACAGAACAAACTAAGAGGGCGACATCAACGTCGCGTAGAGTCTGGTCACCCGCGGTATCTCAACATCAAGGTGGGACATGTGAATCAGCTTGTTGTGGAGTTGAATATATGCCAACCAGTTCTCAGAATTGTATCACAAAGCAGGAGCGACTGAAGGAGTCATCGTCGTGAGTTGTGATACCTTGAACGGGATAATTCTACCCCGGTCCATAAGTCTACGAGAAATGGACCAATCTTGAAGGACAAAGAGTCGCTACCGGCCGCACCAGTGATGTTGCCTAGGTTGAAAAAATTCACCTGCTGAACGCAATACGCACCCCGTCCACGGATAGCATCTCAATCCCTGAGGCATCAAACGCCGCTACACTGCACTCAGGGCGAACACACGGTCAACAACGTTGGCCCACCTCCTCCTCCTCCTCCTCCTCCTTTCCCACCTGCTCTTCCTCTTCTTCCCCTTCCTCTTACTCTCCTCGATCTTTCCCGTGGGTGTGCTGTGGATGACAACCAACAGGACACGGGCATAGTATCACGCAGTATCGCACGGGCGAGAAACGAATACCCCTTATACGGATAATATCCACCCGCAGCGACCGCTAGAACCAGTTCTAGTCCATGGCATAGTTCGGAAATCGAATATAAGCGAGAACTAGGGTACTGAACGGCCATCGCGCCCCCAGTGGGCGCGGGGGCACGAATCGCAAGCGAGAGTGATCGACGACGGTGAAAAGGGAAAAAAAATGAAGACGGCGGAGAAGTTGGAAAGCTGATGAGAATTTGTTCCCGTGCGCGGGTGAGAGTGGAAAGGCGTGGCACCGCGTAATGTGTGGTGAGAACGCACGGGTACCTGTATGTAAAGGCGATGAAGGTTGGTCCAAAAAGAAAATATCGTGTGTGCGGAGAACTGTACTGTAAGAACCATCCGATGAAGTCGTGGAGGCTGCAGGGTCCTATACAAACATGCAGACGAAAGTATCAAACAACACCGCGAAGAATGACTGAAATATCTACGCCGCGAGTAGTGCCGCGAATTTTAAAGGTTCGCTTGACGCTAACGCCCTCGTGAGTGGCGATGAAAGTAATGGTGATACGCGGCAACCAATGTACAATTCTCTGACTATGTAAAGTTTGAATTGAAGAATGTGTGGCTTGACGTTGAAAAACAAATATTTCCCATCGTTCGTACGTGGCGTGACGTCGAGTAACATCTTTCCCATCGTTCGTACGGCGGTTAGACCAGTTACAACACAAATGACCACAACACCATTATTGGGGTTCCGTTCCGTTGGTTCCGTGTGGAGGAAATTCGTGGAAAAATCTTCGTGGATCCGCTGAGCTATGTAGCGGCTTGCGTACAGCACACAGACTGAGAGTAAACAGGCGTCAGTGTTGGCTACGGCGTTCGTCGAAGCAAGTTAATGCATGCAAAATGCAGCTGTTGTAGGCATTTCGCGTTTGAACGGAAAGGCGAGGCACGGCGTATGGCGTGATGACCGCGGTCGGTGTCGTACTGCTGTTGACACGTAGCAGGGGAAGGCAAGTTCTCTCCGCTACAGCAGCAGTGCTGCAAACGATATGCGTGCATCTTCACGGCTTGGCGGCCTTCCGTACCCGAATTAACGACGTCTTGGATCTGTGTGGTGACTTGACGTTTTGAGGGTGTTGGCTGCGGTTTACATTGCGGAGACACAGCAGTTCTCTGTACTGCCAATCTGCCAATCGCGTGCTCCTGTGCTTCGGTGCTTGAGGTGTGCATACGCGGCTGTAACGCATGTTTTCACGGATTGACCAAACTCTAAACTCGCGAACTCGTCAAGGCGCGTGACCTAACGCCCGAACCCTAATAACACATGTGAGACGTGCTTGAACCAAAGTCCACACTGATCTACCGTGTACACACACCACAATAGACAGATGTGTGTGCTGCACAGCGGCAATATCTAAAACCGTTGGTTGCCGCTCAGTGTACGTAATCGTGCCCTGCTCAAGATATCGCATGTATGTCTAGAATTCCTCACCACACTCATCCTATGACGACCATTTCCAAAGTGTGACAGTACATGTTCCGTTGGTGAAACGTTTTGGCGGTCGGGGGCAGCCCAAGGCTGTCGTATCCAGTCTCACACTAGGTGTGTGCAGCGTGCGCGAGGAAAAACAAAAATCGAAACAAAAAATCTCCACCCACTCTATTTTCACGTAGTGCGACGGAATGAATCCTTTGCGAATATAACTTAGGGTGATTACTACGTCGCTTCAGGTTCTTGGTCGGTAAACTCGGTCTTGCCGGGTCCGAAATCTGCGGCCGCGATGATGCTTCTCTGCAGCCACGCCATGGTGGGTGGGAGAGTGCAAGAGAGGTTCCAGGATCTATGCCCAGCACAACGTTGCCCCCAAACGGCCACAAACTGAATGTATGGCAGCGCCTCGACCATTGGGCGGTCATCAAGGGGCCCACAGACTTTTCGATTAGCCTGATCCGGCATCAAGCTTGACCACACGACGCCGTGGCAACTTCGGCCAAGCACACGGTTGGCCGAGAGACCCTTCTACTGCTGCAAACCCACAAGCAAATACACCGTGCGTGTCTAGACGCCCAGAGGTACCTACCTCGGACACCTCTCGCCTCTCCTGATGGGTGTTTCCAGCCTCTTGCGTCGGTTCCATGACGGGTGATGTGTTGTGCTCCTCTTCATCTTCAGACGATTCTGACTCGCCGGCCTGCGAAACGGAGGCGGGGTGGTTGTCAACGGGCAGGCGCACAATTCATTAGTGTACAAGGGACGCTGGAGACTTCATGTCGATTGTCATGCATCCGTTGGATCAGTACGATACGGGAAGCGAGATATGATCGTGTTTCTGGTGCTCCATGCGGCCGATTTACGCAACTTGCGCAATGACCAGAATGGCTTACCTTGATCGCCACATTAACTTCGCATTGCTCGACTTGAGAACCAGAAGATGACATCGCGCCTGCGTGTGAAATTTGACACAAACACAAACATCGACACGACGTCGTTTCGAGCGTTTCCACGATATCAGGAAAGGGTTGTGCATGTGGTTTGGCAGAGCACAGTCAGGTTCATCATCATCAACCATTATGCAGGTGACACCCCACCAAACCACCCAGGCCATTCTTGGTTGTCGTCCAAGCCCTCGACCCACCTTGCGCCTCACTGCCGCTCTTGCCGCCACTCAGCATTCTCCTGAATGACGTCGTGAGAAAAACGGGAGCAACGTGGTGGTGCAAGGGCTAGCATCAGTTGTACACGAATAACCACAGCAGTGCGCGGTCGGCTCTACAGCACTAGTGCGAAGTGCCTCACACTCCGACAAGGCAGCCAGTGCGAAATATTTCTCAACGTGAAAATTCAAGCTCGAGCGAGATGAATACACGACACAAAAAAAATTGACCAATCAGAAAACTGCGGGCACCTTTGGAAGGACTCGACTTGGTGAAAAATAGGCAGCACCGCCCAAGCGAATACGCTACAATTTCACCATCTACTCGACATCAAACAAGAGCGTACACGTACGTAATGCCCTCCGGTGGCTCAATGTCCGCTTCCAAGGCTGCCGCTACAGTTTGTGCTGCCTCTGCTGCTTCCACTGCAGCTTTTGCGGCTGCTGATTTTGCCGCAGCTGCCGCTCTGGCTGCGTGAGCCACGGATACCACCTCAGCAACTCTGGCGGCCGCCGCCTCTACCGCGTCTGCCGCCTTCACGACCTTGACGGCCTCCGCCTTCGCTATGCTGGCTGCTTGAGAAACACTTTAAGCTGCTTGTGACAGAGAGAGGGCACCAAGACCGGCCGTACGAGCTCCGACTTTTTCCTCGACCGCTTGAAGGCTAGAAAACGCCAACGGAAGCTTCTTCGAAGAGCCCGCCAACTGTTCTTTCGCCGTCGCCATGTCTCTCCAGCCTGGCGATGGCGGCGACGGAAGGGGTAGCGTCAATGTGCCGGCGTCACGAGGGCGGGCAATGCTGGTGGGAGTCACTCAGAGGTCTTGCACCTTGGTCATCTGCAATGTAAAACGACGACCAAATACATCATGGAGGTTAGTTTCTTCGGGCGGGGAGCTGGTTCATCAATCAATATCTCGTTCATTTAGATTTGGGAGGACCTGATGATGGCCTTGTTCGCGCTTTATTGCCACCAATTGACACGACGAGGTGCGGTGGAGTCTAGCCAATATTTGAGCATGCGGGTATGACTAAGGAAGCGACGTGCTCATTGCTGTTTGTTTTAGTGACCTCGGATACACGAGGATTAACAGAACACCAACCTCCGTTGTCTCGTCATCAAAAACAAACATCGCAGTCACAGGTTGCACGATGTGCCCAAAACGCGTTCTTTTCGCTCTGCACACCTCCCGCCACGAAACTACGTAACCACGCAAACGGCAACAGCGCACCCCTCGGGACACGTATCTGAAAGCAGGTGTAGCGCGTACAGCACAACAAAGCCTCTCGGGCGATATGCACTGCGTGTAGACCGTTAACCTACAGGCAGCGTATTCGTAGTCGTGATCTTCCGTAGGACGCATCCTCGGCTCCAAAGGGGAGGTTTTAGAATGAAGAAGCTTTCGGCTGTGCTTGTTCCCAATGTAGGTCATCAAACTACCATGACATTCCGCTTTTCGACGCTGCAAAATGTTTGCTACAGTCTGCATGCCATTGAAGTCTTTATATACGAGGTTTGGGGAAAGTTGGTGCTCAATCGAGCCCCCCTTCAAGACTACTATTTGCAACGGTTTCACTCTTCAAAGTCCAACGAAGGGGGAGGAACTTTTTTGTGTGACAATGGATTGGAGCTGCCGTACGGCAGGAATACATTCTGTGTGTGTGAGCGCATAATTAAAGGGGCACTGGGGTACGCAGTTTCCCCCTTCAACACTTCAGGAAACGTCGGCATACATGCATCTTAGTTTTCCAAAGTCCGACTCCACGAAACTTGCTACACGCAGAATTTTTCAGCTGCTGTGCGGCCTGACCTTGAAACGTTTCAAACGCACAGATACCGCGAAACAGCGCCCATGTGAGCGTGTGGGACCGCGAACGTCAGCGCAACTCTTCCCTCACATGTCCTACTCGTTGGCATGCAATATGACCCGGTCGCCCCGGTGGTCTAGTTGGTATCCTAGAAACCTTCTAGAGGTCAGGTCAGGGGTTCGAATCCCGGCGTATGCGAGCTTTTCTCGCACAGTGAGTTTTTCTCTCCCTTCTGCCCCTGGCCTAGTGGATAGCGCTAGTTCGTGTGTACACAGAGGGAAGAGAGAGCTGAACTCTTCTCACATTACAAATCGAAGGCAAAGTACCGCAGGAGGGGAGGGTAGAGAGGGACTCTTCTGTGTGACCACGGGTTGGAGAAACCGGCACTAGTGCTGTGAGCGCTGATCTGAAGTAAAGAAAAACAAAAAAAAAACTCGATGTGAATGCCTGCGGTTATGTATTTGAAGGAATACAAGTCAACCTCCGGAGTGGGGTGACGAGCATCGCGGCAAGGTGATGCAAGAACATGCAAGAAACAAAGAGAAGAAACAGATAGAAGTACATAAATACTTCGTATACTGTACCAGTAAAAGGTTCGCGCCATTTCTGGGAGGTTGGCGCCAGGTTTTTTCCTTGATAAAGGATGCAGGAATTCTGCTGCAAACAAGTGTTCGTGTTCTGGATTTTGTTGGTTGAAAGTCCGCATGCGAACATACGTGCGTGCCGACCTCCCGAACTCGGGCTCAGCGGCCTGCGCGGAGATAGATGGTGTGCATTGCTCGGGATGTCTGCTGACACTGCCACCACATGCTTCAATGGCTCGACTTCTGCTGGAAACTACAGTGCATGGGCCTGCTTTACTATTGTATGCATAGTTCAGCAGTCGGAAAATCATGGCCAGCAGACGACTTGAGCGGCGTCATCAAGCGGGGGTTTTCTACAAGGAAACGCACACACTCGAAAGGGCAGCGAAGAACAAACGACGGATGTATATACGAGTGCGTTTCCAGCGTGCGAACAGTATAAGGTAGTGCTCGTAGCATCGTGACGTCTCAAAAATCCGGTGGGGACGAGGCGAGATGAGACAGCAGTCCACAACGTCTCCGCCGTATGACAGAACTGAACAGAAAACAAACATGTGGCTTGAATTGCATCCTGTCGACAGGGGTCTTCCTCTGACCGCGTATGTTCTTTTCCCCTGTCGAGCCCCGCCCGCACGTACACGCTCGCTCCACAGCCGCTCTGACAGCTGCCGCAGCAACGCTCTGCTGTTGTTGACATGTGCTGACAAATGGCTCAACATCAGATCAGAATCAGCTGTTCACCGCGAACATTTTTGCTTGAAGCTGACGTCTTCTGCCGGGCTGGTTGACAAGACAGGCCACAACTTCAGCGACAGGTGGCCTGACGGCTGGAGAGAATCAGTGCAAAGTCTCTTACAGCCCAAACAAAATTCCTGAGAGTCTGGTGAAAGAATTTGAAAATATGAAAATAGTTTTACAAGCCCAAAGCAAAGGCGCTTGAAGCGTTTCAAAATCGGACCCCACCGCACCTACAAAAATCCTGCTTGTCTGTAGCCCACCGATCCCGATGCGTTTGGAAAATTACCGACCTGTAAGGTATCACAAGGGCTACAATCTTCGATCCTAACATTGTACACGACTGGGGAGTAGCGGACGGATAATGTCCGATGCACACCCTGAACTCGACGATAAAAGGGTCGTTTGGAAAATCGTGGACTGCTTCTATGGATCACAATGAGCCGCGGAGCGCGAAGCGCGACCGTGCTTTTCCCTCCGTCCCAGGACGCAGAAAGCAGGCTCTATCTACCAGGGGCCGAGTTTCAATAAACGACCGTCTAAATTTGCCCTCCTTATCGACCAGAACGAGGTCCTAGAGCACCGATTGACGATCTGCTGGGTTGTGAGGAAGAAGGAAAATAGGGCAATCTTCACCGCACCGGTTTGGTCGCGCTCCGACAGCAGATGGCCGTACTTCACCGGCATTTGTACCCAAAAACCATAGGAGTAGCTCACCCCCATCCCCGAAGAGTTGAGAGGTAATGGGGGAACAAAACGTCGGATATCTTCCACACACACACACACAGTCACGCAAGTCGCTTGGTTTAAACCAGGAGGAACAGAGGAAGCACTCAGCTAAACAAGCAACACCGCTGGGAGGGGCAAGACAGCACCGGCGGGGGAAAAGAGCCATGCACGCAGCTCGTGGCGGATGCCTGTCATTGTTGCTGATTCGGTGTGTGGGGAGGAATCATCGGTAAACCAGCGCCTCGGGCAGAAAAGCTACAACCTGAGCCGAGCAGACGCGGCGGGTTTCTTTCAGGCAGTGCCAGACTCGTGCGCTCGCAATTTCTGAGCGTCCTACAGCCTCCTGGTCTGTATCAATCACCACACAAGACGGATCTTGGACACAGTTCGTGGCAGATACCTTTGTTATTGCTGCTGCTTCGGTGTGTGTGGAGGGGTCACCCTTGGAAACAGAGCTGTTGCATTTTGCCGACTCTCGCCACCTCAGCTTCCGTGGGTCCTATGGCTCCGTGCCTTCTATCAACCGCCACACAAGACGTTTCATACGCACATCTCGCGGGGAATGGCTTTACAGTTGCTGCAGCGCAGCGCTACGCTGTGCAGAGAAACCACCTAAAAAAAACAAATCGGTGGGGGAACGTATGCATGCCGTCTTCTACCACAAGTGACAGAGGATACAACACCCCGTGTATCGATTATGAAAGCTCGAGTACTTCACGTCGAAGAGGATCCGTAAACCCAGCGAAACGTTGTCGGAAAGCTCTCGACGAGACGGTTCCCACACCACCATTAGCGGCACGGGCATTTGTGATGTGGAGCAACCGAGCTTTGAAATTGGTACAGGGGGTGTGGTGTCTGGTGTTTCCTACGGTACTGCTGTACAGTTCGCGAATCCCAACGGCCGTTCGTTCAAGGAACATTTTATTTTGTGTTGATGAATCGGATTCAACGAATGATCGACTGCCACCCGCCACCGCACCAAAGCACCCTAGATACACAGACTTCTGCAAGGTATTGAGCGACTACCCCGCGGCTCATTAACCCTGCGCTATCTACAGTAGTAGCGGCCACAATATCAGCTACTAAAATTGTACTGACAGTATACACGAGGGGGGGGGGGACGGGCGGCTAACCTTACGATGGAAGTGTCGTAACTGGAGTTG